TGGACTCGTTAGGCGAATGCGACAATCTTGGCTGGCACTTATCTAAGAGCTCATCCCATTTGACGCAGCGATAAGGCCCGCCATATAAACATCATGAGACACAATCCAACCTATTGTTTTTGTGTTTATCGGTGGGGATTTATCAGCATGGGCTACTGTTTATATGGACTAGACGGAGCAGAGGCGGCGATATTTTGTGTTCTTCGTCAAGTAGATGAAGTCTAGGGTGACTTTTCTCTCCAGCTTTGGAGAGTCTTTAATTTGCACTGAGTAAAGAGCAGGGGAGACATTTTGTATCTAGTTGGGAATGTGATTCGATTCTAATAAAAATCTAGTGGATCCTCTATATATCGTCAAGTCAGAGTGACTTTTTGTATAACACTTTTCTCTCCAGTTTTGGATATTCTTTAATTTGCAATGAGTAAAGAGCGAGGGAGACATTTTGTATCTAGTTGGGAATGTGATTCAATTCTTATTGGAAAATGGCTAGTTATTCTTACGAAACGGAACAGCAAATCAGACAGTGCGAATACCCTCTAAATGCTTTCCATAGCAATATGTGAAGTCCTATAGTTTTTAAGTATAGTTCATATATGTTTTCCTTTTATTTCAAGGTTCATAATATCATGCATAAATATACTAGTTTTCTTTCAGATTGACTTAAAAACAATAAATATGTTTAATGTTAGTTATGTGATCTTAAGTAGTTAGCAAAATTTGTTCCACCTGAACGTTATCTTTAGCTACGCCCATTAATTTAATATGCTTTGGGTTTTCAGCACCTTCAACCAGCTGAGATTTGTGTATTTTTCTGGTGTCACATCTATGAGACTTTTGCTTCTCTGATTATTTCTACCCAGATTTTGTTTGTTCACATTATTTACAATTGATGTCAACGTCGAGTATTCATTCATTTGTTGAGCAAATGCCATTTGGTATCATTTGGGCCCAGGCAGATTTTTTAAAACGTAATTCGTGATCTCTAGTCGCAGTCGATAAAGAGCCAAAGGCTAAATATAAACCGAAAGGCATATTAAATTGGCAAACAGACTTAAAGCATACATAAAATACCGAGCCGGAGTAAAACTAATTTAACTAGTATTTATTTAGGCACGCCTATTACCTGCTGATTTATTTTTATTATTTGTTTATTTGATTGCACCTGCAAATTTTTGTTCGCTTGTGATTGCGCAATCTGATCATGGCTGCATTTGTTTGTACAATAAACACTTTGAAATTGGGTAAAAGGGGCATTGAAATTTGAACATAGTTCCCTTTAAGGACTTTTCTGGAATAATCGATAAATTGTCCCTCGTAAAAACAATCGATTAATATCGATAACTTGACTTTATAGCATATCTGAACGGTTTTTAAAGCTGTACTTCGAAAATCTTGTATAGTATAGTAGTATATATATATATTATATACAGATAAATCCCAACTACCAATCCCCAAAATTCAAAGCAATAAAAGTTCCAAGTTCCAATCATAATAAGACGCACTCAAGAATTTCAACAAGATCGATTCAGAAACACTGAAAATATGTTTAAGAAAAACGCCTTTAAAGTATTTTATCAAGTAATGCTTGTTTTATTACCCCTTAGCCTCGTCTAAAATCTGCAGCTTATATTTTTATGTGTGTCTAGGTATTCATGTATTAAAGAATATAAGTGTTTTTATGGGAATATTTATGTGAGTGTTTATGGCTAAAAATTAACCATAATAAGTTACATATATGTATCTTTATGTGAGGGGGGATGTAAATGTAATCTTGATGTAATCGATGCTGAGTTTAAAGGGAACAATAGATCGTTTTATGGTCTGAGCTGATTCGATTTTCTTCCAGTTCATCAAAAGTTTACTTGCGTGTGTCTTTGTCAGAAGGCTTAGGGTATCTCCTAGCAGGCATTCCCGACAAGTTGGCTCAGAGTGACTTATTGGATAACTGTTTTCTCTCCAGTTTTGGAGAGTCTTTAATTTGGAATGAGTAAAGAGCGAGGGAGACATTTTGTATCTAGTTGGGAATAACGATATTCATCAAGCAATGTAAACAATTGTCATTAAAAATTGTTGTCAATTTTAAGCTCATGTCAAATTATTAAACAATTTGAGGAAGCGTTTCGGGGAATTTCAACAGATAAACATTAAAAGTAACGAGGCAATCAAAACAAAAAATAAAAAAAAGGCTAGCTAAGTACCGCCTGGAAACAAGGCAATAAAACAAAAACTTTCTTAGAGTTGAGTTATTAGCAAAATTTGGTGGTGAATCGGAGAGTTCGAAACGTAAAAAACTCTTAATTTATTATGCGCACAAATTAATTAAATTCGCCGAGAGGCCATAGACGAAGTTGAAAAACCAGTTTGCAATACTCTGGTCTCAAATTCCATTCGCCAGCTGAAAAGTTTCCAACACAACAAACAAATGTTAGCTATTAACGCCCCCCGCGCGCGCTATAAGTCCAGCTTCGCAACACAATTATCCAAAAATCTCATTAACTGTTTACTCGCAAAACTAGACAGTTAACGCGACACTCTGCCGTTGATTGATGTATAGGTATGTGTATATAAGAGAAAAATAATGTACAGCTAGAACTGGCCGAGCCGAGCCTAGCCGAGCCGGAAGGGCCATTTGCAATTTACCGTTTTAGATGCGACGATGCAACGTCATTTGGAAACTGCGCCGCACCCGAAACAACCCTGCAACGTCATTTGGAAACTGCATCGCTAGCGAAACAACCCTGCATTCGCTACGTGTCTTCGTTTTTGTGTTGATCGTTCGTTCAGTCGTTCCTTCGTTCGGCTCGTTCGCTTCGTTCGGCTCGTTCGGTTCGTTTGCGTCTTCGGTACGCGTTGATTCAATTATAATTGAAACTAATTTGGATTTGAACGGATGAAAGCCTTCGTGTTGCGGGCGGTCGGGCGATGGGCAACGGGTGTGAGACACATATGTATGCTGTGCCCATTGCGCGAGACGAGCTTTATATTTGCATTGCTTGCGGAATGCCCTTGAACCTGAGGCGCCCCCCTCCCCGTCCGCTATCCCACAAGCTGTGTGCACTTGTGTACACTTTTGTACGCTGGTGTAATTGAATTTTCTCCAAATTAAAGGATAATACAACAGACGATTGCAACACAAAACTGTAATATAATCTTTAAGTGACATCAAGAAAACAATTCTAATGCAATGTACAATCACAATATAAGAAAAAACCCTCGCTTCATGTAATGCGAACAACGCAAATTATATATTTCTTGGCATAAATTCATTTATCGCCTTTTCATAATGCCCCTAATGTGATTTAATAGGAAAATTCTTTATCAATTCTTCTTCAAATAATTTACAAATTCTATAAGAAAAAGTCCCCGATTCGAATTCGAATTCGAATATATATATGTATAGTTTTTATGGACACGTTCTTGAATACATGCTTGATTTGCAAATATATTTGAATTACTTTTATGAGTATCTTGGCCAAAAGCCGTTGCTTAGACAGCTAACGGAACATTTTACATTATCCGAGTGAAGAGAATTCTTTATTATCCGATTATCCGAGCGAAACACTTGCAATACACGTTCGGTGTAAAATTTTTCCGCGACTTGAACGACGCGACAAAACAACGTGAATTGACTGATAAAAAGAACTGCGCCGAAATGATAATCTAGACCAAAAGTTTCGATGTGGATGCCGGAGCATATCCAAGTTGGCGCGCGCGCCAATGAGGCACTTAGTATATATACTATATGCATGCACACATGCTATCATCCTCATTCCCATCAACATCATCAGCTTGATCATCATCATCGTGATCATCATTATTGAGATGGGGGAAAGAGCGCAAAGTGAGCCAGACTTTCGAACGCTCCAGAGCATCATCATGTCTTTTATCAAATTCATTTAAATCATCATCAAATTGTGACGCGAAATCTTTTCTTGAAGCGCCGGCTTCGTTCTGCTTCTTTCTTGTATGGCATATTTTTGGAGCAAAGCCTATTCTATAAAAATGTAAATGTACATTTTGTACATTGCCGCTAGTTTTGTTGTTTTTGTTTGTGTTTTACTTTAATTGCGCGTATCATTAATTGAAAAATCTTTTGCTCAATTGTTGCTAAAGCTGTTTATTTGTTGTTGCATGAAGTCATCCAACAATTTGTTTAAACAAATCAAAATAATGTTGTTTATTTTTTTATTTTTTTTTTTGTCAAATCTGCAATGATTGATTGTTTGGCTTTTTTATTTTGTCTCTTTTTTCGGCTGCTTTTTGTTTTGCTTCTATTTTCGGCAAATTTGTGCTGCTTTGTTAACGGCTTTTATTATGTATTTTTATTGTTTATTCGTTTTTAATCATAACGTTGATTGTCTGTGTGCTTTAGACCATATTGTTTGCGAACGGTTGCCAAGCCGACTTCGTTTCCCACGCGTATATAAAATAGCCAAAAATTAGTATAAATAAATACGTTTTATTTTCTTTTTGATAATGGGAACAGCCCCGAAATGTGAACTTTGAGTCGAACGTCAGAGTTCAGTTAACAAAAGCCATAAACTAATAAAAAAAAAAAATAGGCTACAATAAATTCAAGAGATAGCTTTGTTTTTCCTTCTTCGATCGTTACATAAATTAGCCACAGTTTCTTCCTTATCCATAAATGTTCAGCGGTTTTCCCCAATTTTAAAGTGGCGTCAATTTTCTATTGACAATCAATTAAAAAAGTGACAAATTCGACAACACTTTCTAAACGAATTGCTAAAAGTTACAACACTGCTGTTACCACCCTCCGCCCGTATGCAAATGCCACTGACCAACACTGGTTACTGCGTCTCGTGTGTGCGCTGCTTAGCCGCCGGCCAATAATTAACAGCTTGTTGTGAAGTAATCATACCCTGTACCTAAATCAGTTGCTGCAAGGGTATTATGCTGTAATTCTTCAGGTGGAAATTTCGAGCATTTAATACTTTAATGTTATTTAAATGCGTACGTGCTTTATCGAAATTTAAATCATGTTTGTTAATTCTCTCCCGCATCAACTTTAATGTCGGTTGTTTTTACAATTTGGCTAATTTCAATGGAACATTTATGTGTCAAACCAAAAATGGAAACCTTTAAAAAAAAAAAAAATTACAAAGCATTAAATGAATACATCAAGTGTAACGAGAGTTAATGCAAAATATGTTTAAAATATCATAGGCAAATTGTATTGCTTATTTGAAAAATAAAAAAGTTAATTTTAAAGCCTTAAAAAAGCTTTCATTACGAAAGTTTTTGCTGAGCTCATTGAATAAGTAGGAGATATCTTAAAGAACTAGATACAGGGTATCAGCTGGCCAACTAACTTGATGAGTGTCTAAACAATATCGACTGAACCACTCTTAATTGTTTTCCTCAACATTTTTGATTTACATCATGCCAGCCTATAACGTAGGCATTTAATTACTGTAGAAGCGTGTATGCAATAGTTTGTTGCAGTTTGGCTCAAAGCCATTTAATTTGGCTAACGATTTGTTGTCATTATTTGTATACAGCTATTGTTGTTATTTGAGTGCAGGAAATACGCGCAGTTGAATTTTTCATTACATACACGAAAATACAATGCAGCACACACGTAGATCTCAGCTCGGGTTCATGCATGTAGATATGTGCATACGTATAAACAATGGGCGCTTCGGGCGCTCTGAACTTGACTTTCTGACATTCGATAACATTTTGTATGCTTTCAGCTGCTCTTTCCTCTGAGCTATAGCAAAATGCTGGGCAAAGTTGATGTGGAGGCCAATGTGGAGGGCGGTGGTCCATCCGGTCAGGCGGGCGCCATACGCTGGGGCATTGCGATGAGTTTGCGCAGCTTTGTTGATCAAGAGATGATTGAGACAATGCGTCTGGGTAAGTCCGTTTGCCGGCTCGAAATCTTTTAATTGTCGCTAATTGCTTTTATGTTCCTCTTCTCTATGCAGCCGGCTTGCTGACACGTGACTATCGCAGGCGAGAGCGCAAGAAGTTCGGACAGGAAGGCGCACGTCGCAAATACACGTGGAAGAAGCGCTGAACGGCCAACTACAAAGCGGCGTTGCATTTCTTTACAAATGTTCAATAAAAACTATGTTAAATTAGTTCGATAAAACTAAAACTACATTTGGTTTAGGGGCTTGAGACCCAAAAGCTGCATGCCCTGTTGCAGCGTGCGCTTGGCCGCACGAAAGAGCAGCAGTCGCTGCCGTTGCTTCTCCGGGCATTTCTCTTGCTTCACGGGCAAACGTTTCAGTGCACGACTAGTCGCATTGCTGTAAATTTACAAAATAGATTAGTTTGGGCTCAGCAAATAGTTTTACGGGAGTCACGCACCACAAGCCAAACAGGTAATTGACCACGACACACGCCTCCAGCTGCTCCTTGGCCTGCCAAATGCATTGCTCAAAGCGCGCCAGCTCGTAGAGCAAGGCGAGCGCATCTGCTGGCTCTTCAGTTAAATGCTGCCAGCTGGGCTTTACTTCCGCCAGCTCGATATGCTTGAAATTATCCAGCAGATTGTGCAGCCGGCAGTGTGTGTATTGTAGCTTGATGCCCGTGTCGCCATTAACCTGCAGCGCTTGCTGCCAGCTGAACTCATAGTCCCGCTGCCGACGCTGCTTCAGCACGTTCACCAGCACAGCTGACACGCCCAGAATATCGCACACGTGATCATCATCCAGAGTATTATTAACCTTAGTGGCTAGAAGTATAAATTACAATAAGAAGCGAATCGTTTAATGTTATGAATAGGTCGAAACTTACTTGTGCTAATGCTGCGCTTCTCGCGCATTACGTCACGCGCCTCGTTGAGCACATCGCGCAGAAATATGGCATTGCCTTGGCGTGTGCTCATCCCGTGAATGCGACCGAATTTCACATGCTGTAGCTTGTCATTGAAGCGATCATCTAGCGCGGACACAGTCTGGAACAGGGCTTTGAAATGATCCGCCTGCCCGTTGTCCACCACATAGAGCATGCGCGAGAACCGTAGACGTTGCTGGCGTTCCAGGAGCGCAGCAATATCGCGCGCCAAGTACAAGGTGGAGCCATCGCTCTTGATGACCGGCACACGACGCTGGTCCACAACCACAATCTCACGGCCATCCTCTTCTCGTTGCAGTAGTCCTGCCGTGCGCAGTTGTGTCAGAACATCAACGATGTCACGCTGCGAGTACTGTGACTCCCATTCGTAACTGTCGAAGTGTACTCCAAGACGCTCGTAGACACCAGTCAGCTCTTCTATGGTGTATTGACGGTACTGCTCCCATTGCTTGGACATGGTTGTATCTTTGCCCGCTTCCAATGCACTGAACAATTCACGTGCCTGTTGAGCTAACTGTGGATCCGCTGCAGCAGCTTTATTGGCCGTTACATAAGCATTGTAGAGCGTTTCAATAGGTGCCGCACGCATTTGAGCATCATGCACATTACTCAGCTGGACGCCAAGCGCCAAGAGCCCAAACTGGGTGCCCCAATCGCCCAGATAGTTAAGACGTGTCGTGCGGTAGCCCAAATGCTGATGAAGATTGGCCAGCACATTGCCTATGATTGTGGAGCGCAGGTGGCCCACATGAAAGGGCTTTGCTATGTTCGGTGAGCTGTACTCCACAACAACGTGCTCCTCGCGTAAAGCTGGCTCCATGGAGGGGTTTTGTTTTGCTTGCAGCAGCTGGGCTGTAAATGCATCGGGTCGAATTCCGAACTCAACTTTGGCTGCATTGCGTCCATTTCTGGGCACCACACGAACTTGTTCAATGTACGTGGCATCGAATTGTTGACTTTTTACCGACTCCAACAGGTCGTGCTCCTGTTGTGCAACATCAGCCGGCAAAATCCACTGCAGCATTGGTCGTGTAGCGGCATTTTGTGGCAGCTTGGAGGGCACTTCGAGCGCATGGTAGATGTTTTTCAGTTGTGGCAGCTGCGTTAAATATACAATAGAAGATTTAATAAGCCTTGTTGACTACAATTTTATTGTTTTACCTGCTCACAAATTGCGCGCCGGATCGCGCTGGTCATGTTATTGCACAGGGTGGCAGTGCCATGCTTAGTGTTGCAAAGTGTCGCGTTGTTGTTTTAAGCAAACACGATACGACATGTATGATGAACAAAGTGTTGCATAGTCGAATAACTGTTAAACAGATATTATATTCTCTTTAACATTACTAAAATATTTGCTATATCTCATAAAATCACCGACAAAATGTAAACAAATTAATGTTTTGATTGTTATGCAGTTGTCTCAACACATATGTCTCGTGTGTGGATCATTTAACAGCTGTTTTGCAATACTGGGCTGGGCATTGGGTGTTGTTTTTGTCTAAAGTCGATTTGTGTTTTGTTTTGCGCGAAGGCATTTATGCCAATATAAAAAGCAAAATGCATAAGGCCTACAATGTGCAGTCGATACTAAAGCAAGGCGTTCAAATTGAAGCCATTGCAGCATACGGTAAGTTACAGTCGTAGATATGTACATAAATCAAAAACAAAAAATGGTTTACCTTTGTTCAAGCAGGTAATCAAGTCATCTTGGGCACCAGGAGCGGTCAGCTCATCATGTACGCCGTGGAAACGCAAACAGGCGTCGATATGCGAATGTTCAACAACAATTTTAGCAAGAAGCCCATTGCCCAAATGGAGGTGGTTTCTCCGGAGAATTTGCTGTTTGTATTGACCGACAATATGATTCATGTGTGTGATATAAGCCGGATCGAGAACAATTTCGAGTTTATACATAAATCCCTAGACACCAAGGGTTGTACGTTGTTTACCATGGATGTGGACACACGCAAATCGACAACGGGCGAAGTGGCCACGTTTATACGAATCGGTTGTGCCATAAAGCGCCGTTTGGTGTTTTTCTTTTGGAAGAAGGATCAGCTCGCATCGCTGCAGCTGGCCATTGAGCTCATCGATGTGCCCAAGGCAATGTGCTGGGTTAACCAGCTCGTCTGTGTTGGCTACAAAAACGAATACGTTCTATACGATGTAACTGACATTTCGAGATATTAATATAACTGATTTAATCATAGCTTAACTCCCCTGCTAGATATCCAGCAATCCGCCGACGATGTACAAGCTCATTCTTACTTCCTCCACCATAAGCCAGGAGCCCAACATTTGCTTAATGCGTAATAACATGCTAGGCATATCTAAGGAAAACTACCTAATGCACATTGATCTCGCTCAATACAAATCCAAAGACGGCTGTGCTGACGGCGGAATGAACAACAAGACAACGTTGACGCCGTGGACCAGTCCGCTTTTGGGTTTAGGTAATTTTGCTATCTTATGCATCATATTATATGACACTAACAATAGCAATCTTTACAGTTTGGGATGAGCCATTTGCTGTTGGGCGAATTAAAAATGCCGTCGAGGTGCGCAGCTTGGTGGGCAAGGACACGCTTGTGCAGTCCATTCCGGAGCTGAGGAATACCCGGTTTCTTGTGCGCTCCGATAAGGGCACCATCTTTGCCGCCGCTTCAACGGAGCTGTGGTGCATACGCCTCGTGGATATTCCAACACAGCGCGAGGAGTTATTGCAGCAAAAGAAATTTCAGCTGGCAATCGAACTGACGGTTAGTTTGGCCTAAATATGGTTCAATTCTCTCTGTAGCCAATATTGCATTCATTTTCAGGAGATCTCCGACGAAAAAGCCAGCGATAAAGCACAGACCGTGCGCTCGATACACATGCTGTATGCCAAAGAGTTGTTTACCAATAAAGAATTCGCAGCTGCCATGAAGGAATTCGAGAAAGCCGCCATCGATCCCTACGACGTGATACGCCTCTTCCCTAGTCTCGTGCCGGAACCGAAGACCACAGCAGATGCTGCAATACCAACGTCCAGTGTACCAAAGCTGGAGGATCATGAACTAGAAAATGCGTACGTGGCGCTTATTGAGTTTCTGGCACAAGCACGTCAACGAGAGGTAGTAAAATTGCTCGATACCAAGGGCAACACCAATTTCCTGCTTGAGATAATTGACACTACGCTGCTCAAGTGCTATCTGAAGACAAATGATGCGCTGGTTGCGCCCCTGTTGCGCCTTAACCAATGTCATCTAGAGGAGTCAGAGAAAATGCTCAAAAAAAATAACAAACTTTCCGAGCTTATCATTCTCTATAATGGCAAAGGAAAGCACAAAAAGGCTTTGACGCTTCTAAAGGAACAAGCGAACATTGAGGGATCAGTGTTGCAGGGTCTTAAACGCACCATTACCTATCTTCAGGCCCTGGGCGTCGACAATCTTCCCTTAATTTTCGAATTTGCCGACTGGGTATTAGCAGAGAACCCAGAGGAAGGTCTAACAATATTCACCGATGAGTTGATCGCCGTGGAGAAGCTGCCTCGTGCCAAAGTGCTTGACTTTTTGGTAAGCAAACATAAAACTCTCGTTATACCCTACTTGGAGCATGTCATCGATGAGTGGGGTGACACCAATACACTGCGCCACAATGCACTTCTTAAGCAGTACAGCGAGCAAGTGCAACGGCTGCTGGCTCAGCAGGCCGAGGGGTAAGTAGATATTCTGATTTTGAGGAATTGATTTCATGTATTCGCGGATTGACAGAAAAGAAGTACCCGAACTGCCGCACTTGCGCGCCAAGATGACTAAGATGCTAGTGGAATCTCAATACTACTCCCCAGATCACGTACTGGAACACTTTCCCACCACCGTGCTGCTGGAGGAGCGTGCCATAATTCTGGGCCGCCTCAAAAAGCATGATAAGGTACTGGCCATATACATACAAGTGCTGGGTGATGTGGAGAAAGCCAAGAACTACGCGGAGGCAAACTATGAACAGGACAAAGAGGTGTTTAATATACTGCTCCAGATCATACTGAATCCAGTGCCTCAACCGCCCTACGAGGGCGTGGCCATGCATCCAGAATTCCTCAGGCCAAACAAGGAAGTAGCCTTGCACCTGCTAAATACCTATACAGTGAAAATTGACCCTACAAGGATTTTGGAAGTGAGTTGGACTTGTTTGCCGCTGTGACTCTTCCTATTGCAATTAACTCTTTGCTTGCAGTATCTGCCGGACGATATTTATATGCATGAGTTGAAAAACTATTTTGAGACTGTGGTGCGCATGCAGATGGCCGAAAGCCACCAGCGCCAAATTATGCGCGGACTGCTGCAAGCGGAGGCGGCGCGCCTGGAGGCGGCCATCGAGCAGGAGAAGAGCAAGAGCTTTGAAATGAATGAGTCGACTGTGTGTCCGGAGTGCAAGAAGCGATTTGCCAATCAAACTGCTTTTGTGCGCTATCCGGATGGCCAAATCGTGCATCTGTCCTGCTACGACAGAGTCATGTCATCCACACAACAATAAACAAGCTCTTTTCATATGTGATAATTGCAAAAAGTAGATAAGTCTTTCTAAGTTATGATATATTTGTAAATGCTAAGCATAATTCGTACGAAATCAGACTGTTTCGGAATAGAAAATATGAATAGTTCTAGAATTATATAAAACACCTAAGGCAAGCAATGCACTTGCTATTAATATCTTAAGAGAACATATTATTTTTAATTGGGCATTCAATTGTTTCATTATACTCCTCGCTTATCAATATCGGAACACCATTCCATAAAGCTGACAAGGTTCAGACTTAGCTATTTGCTTGAAAGTCTTTAACATATTTGTTTGCCAACAGATTTATACAAGCAATAGCTTATTTCGACGCGTATTGAATGTATTATTATACCATAATGGATGATTGTTGGTTTGCCTATTAAATTTGCTTTATCTTTCAACTTTTTAAGGTCGGTTGGAATAAAGTTATGGTGGATCTAGTTGCCAAATCCCGATGAAATGAATAAAATAGGGGCTCCAAGTCTTTCCAAAAATCCCGTTGCATAGTCTTAGCAATTTATATTTCAATCGGAGGTATATATTGTTACTATTTGATAAGATAGTTCAATTCGACCGATTGATTACAGCGAATAGGCCAATCCATTCGAAATTTTTCGACAAACTGAGGTACTGAGAAAATAAAACAAACAAAAATCATCAATACGAAAATAAAATATATATATAATATAACTAGGAAATATTTACAAAAAAAAATTTAAAACTAAATTTAAACATTTTTAGTTCTTTCGAAAAAGCTTATAAAAATATCGCTTAATACATTTCTAATAGCCGGGAAATTTCTCCATGATTTTATTCAAGCTAAAGCCTAATATTTTCGTGTGTTTGAAGAGGAAAAGCTCAGACTTCAAATATTATCTCAACAAATTAAAACTGTTGCGTATAAAAATAATAAATAATTAAAGCTAATTTATAATCATTAATTTGAACTAAGTTTTAAATTAATGGGCAAATCAACAAATAGAAATCATTCAAAAGTTCTGCGGAAATATAAAATCCATAAATTCGAAAATTTACCAAATCAATCTCCACTTGAGACACTACGAGTTGATGAAAAATTAGTAAATTGAAAATATTGAATACTTAAATAATTGCATATTGTACATATTTATTTCGCTATATTTACAATTGAGGCTGCGCACAGATTGTTTATGCCTCCTCACTGCCATCCATAAGACTATCGCCGTCCAGATCTAGGGAATCATTGCATATGGATAAATCAGATTCGGATGCCGCCCGGCTCAATGGACGTAACGGCAGTGAAAGCGATTGTTTGCTGTCCTCGTTGTCGTTGTCCTCCTCCAGCAGGCTAGGCGAGGCTGTGCTGCAGCCGGCGTTCAATGGCAGCTCCGCGGCGTTGGCTGCTGATGTAGTCGCTGCTGTTGCTACTGCTCCGCCGGGCAATTGCGTTTGACGAATTAGCGCCAGACGCTGTTGTGTGAGCTCCAGGTGATGTTTGCGCCATTTAATGCGACGATTTTGAAACCAGACTTTCACCTGAGCCTCCGTCAGCTTGAGCGTGTGTGCCAGATAAAGGCGCTCCGGACCGACCATGTACTGTTGGCGCTCGAATTCCGCCTCCAGGCATTCCAGCTGCTCCGGTGTAAAAATTGTTCGCACTCGTTTATTCTTCAGCGCGCTCTTCTTCTGGGAGTCTGTTGCGAAAAATAAAAGACAGGGTTGACCATTTTATATTGAAGCTAATTTCAGTGTTGCCAATTCAGCTTGTTTCGCGCTTAGCTTGGCTATATTCTGAGGTCTTCAGCCGGAAACAGCCAAAAGTATAGCTGGTTTAGCTAGTTTTTGGCATAGCCATATTATCAACTCTGTTTATTTCTAACATTGCATTTAGCTATTTGACAACACTGCTTGACTTACCCGATTTGAGTTTGTCCCGTTGGAAACTGAGCGATGCCTGCTGAGCGTGATGTTGGTGGAGCTGTTGAAGGCTCTGCAATGCGGAGGGTGCGCCACTGACGGCGGCGGCGACGACAGCGGCAGCAGCAAAATTAGCACGCTGTTGCGAGTGGGAATGCGAATGAGGATGCGGATGCGGATGTTGCACTGTGGCCAGGTAGCGACTGCCGCTGCTATCACAATTAAAGTTATTTACACTTTGGCTGTTGTTGTTGTTGTTGCTGCTAGTGCCGTAGCTGTTGTTGTTGTTGTTGTTGGCATTGTTGATGTTGTTGTTGTTGTTGTAGAACTTGCTGTTATTGTTATCCTGGTCGAGAACATCCGCACCAGCCCCCGCTGAGGCGGCGCCATTGAGCGACAGATTAATGGCATTATTATAGTCCTTGCTCTGCTGTTGCAGACCCAAAATGGCGGCTATTGTAAACGACTTGCCCACATCGAGGGAGGTATGCGCCGCGGCCGCTTCAATGAGCTGCGCGTGCGACGTCGCAGTCGCCAGCTGCTGCTGCTGCTGCTCCCTCTGCTGGTTGTGTGTGTCCGCCTGTGTCTGTGTGGGTGTTGGGAGGCCAATAGGAAGTTGCTGCTGCTGCTGCTGTTGCTGTTGGTTTGAGTGCAGCTCCATTTGATACGAACTTTGACCCGCCGCTGTCACTGCAGCTGCCGCCGCTGCAGCAGCCAGCGCCGCCGAAGGCAGTGCATGATGCGGTTGCAACTGTCCATGTCCATGTCCATGCCCGTGTCCTTGTGCTTGTGCTTGTGCGTGTGCGTGTGCTTGGGCTTGTGCAACACTGTTGGCTTGTGTGTTATGCAATGCCAGAAAGTGTGACAAGGGATTTGCGTGATATTTGGAAGGATTCTGCAACATGCTTAGTATTTGGCACAAGATGGTCACCTCCGTCTCACTGGCTGGTTAGCTGAAAAATGCAAGAGCAATGTGTTAATGTTAACTTGTCGCCGACTTGGTCAGCCGCATGCCATTCAGGTGTCAACGACTGCAATCGCAATTGTCTCTCTGGCTCTGATTATGCCCACAATTAAGTGGCACTTCTCCAGCCGCAAGCATCTGTAATCGGAGCTGCTTGAAGCCAAGTTGAAATGCAAATGCAAATGGAAATGCTGGCCCAAGAGCAGCCGTCGGTGGCATTTAAACCAAGTCAAGAATCTCTAAATGCAGCTTAGTCAAACAATTGACCCGGCAATGAATGGCGGGCAGCAGCAACTGGTTGGGCCAGGCAAATAAAGCTGCAAATGACCGCAGACTGCTTCACACATTCACACACACACACACACACGTACAGGCAGAGAAACGGTCACACGCACAGGCAGAGAAACGGTCACACATACACACAAACACGGACACTCACTCGCACAGTGAGTGCATTCATTGCACTTAATTGCAATGCTTTTCACCTCCTCTCGTTCACGCTCTCTCTCTCTCTCTCTCCATGCATCTGCTGTCGCTGTCCCTGCTGGCAATTTGATAGCCTAATTGAGACTTTGTCACAGTTTGCTGCTTAATTGTTGCTGCTGTTGCTCAGGTGCGTTAAATATCCAACGGATAGTCAGACAATCTCAAATATATATAAATGTTAACACACACACACACACGCACACATGAGGCTAAATGTGGTCAAGTCGTGTGGCTCGCATTGTATAAATTGGGTTCATTAGGGAATATAGTACAAATAACTGTGGGTAGATGGTGCTAATCGCATTAAGTTCTAGCTGTAAATTTCAAATAATTTCCCAAATAAACTCAATGGCAAACCAAAGGCATTTGCAAATATCTCCAAGAAAATAAACAGCTGTAAATTTGTAGAGATATTGTTGTCTAATATCTCAAGCCACAAGGACAGACAATTAAAAAAATGTTTAATTGCAAAAAGTTTGTATTTAATCTCACTAAAATACGTGGAATTGATAAACTGAGCATTAGGTGATTTAAAATATAACTACTCTAGACAAATTAAAGAGTCTATGAATTCAAATATAGAATTGCTTGGTAATATATTCTCTATATGAATAATATACTTCGATCTTTGTGTATTTGGTATATTCATAAAATTGAATACTTTGTTTAAGTCTCTAAACGCTCTTTTGGCATTGGAAAATAGGTGAAAATCTATATCTCCAACACAACCTTTTTTAAAGATCAAGAGAGAAGAGAAGAAAGAGAGATAGAGAAAGAGAGAGAGAGAGAGGTAGAGAGAGTGAAAATTTATCTGCCACTTCTTTATTTGTTTCCTTATATATTTTTTCTTAAATAATTCCTTAACTCTATTTAGCTTGGTATCGGGTATAACCGACTGCAACATTCCAACATTTCTGATATAGCACATTTCTAAAATATTCCATTCGTGTTTAAGTAATTTATTAAACTGCAACGAAACAACAAAGTCGAATCCTCCTTTTAAACACATAATTGCATATTGCCTTTTCTTAAGAGTGCTTGACTATGAGATATCCTGTGAAAACATTCCCACAACCTTTCGAGCCTCTTGTTGCACCTGAGCTTCTCCTTTCGTTTTTCACAATGAAAACTTTGCTCACGTACACTCCTATAAGACGGACACCACTCTAGTGCAGACATTTGAGCTCCTCCGTTTCCCCACTTTAAGGCGCAGACTTCTTCTGAGCGACAAACCAAGTATATCCCTACGGACACTGTCCGCCTAAGAGAGTTTTCGCACTACTTTCTAGAATACAACAATGTCCAATTGGCACATTTTTCATTATGTTAAGCGAAATTGACCTATTGCATTTTAATTCTTGGCTTTGATCAACAATCAAAACAACAGTTAGCTGCAATCTATTTAGCTACGTCACAAAATCTAACCTTATAAAATATGTTCGTAAATCCCTTTTGGATGTTATCCGAACCGAACAAGTAAAAGTGCTCTAGTTTGGATATACCCTGAACATATATAAACAATATATTGTCTTTGCCTGAAAACTTGTTCTACCTGAACAAGAATCAGGTCTCTTTTGCTTGAAACATTACATTTTTAATGACTAAGCTCTCATTATTGCATAAGAAATTTATATAAAATACTGTTACTGTTTGCCGGGTTCGAACTCGCGCCCGCATTAACCGAATGAACCAAATGCATTCGCTTCATTATTGGATTCTTCGAAAGAATATACAGAATTATAGAATTTAAAGAATACGTAAGTATTTGAGCCTAAAGTAAACCATCTGAAGTTTTCTGGAGTATATCTTAATATCAGATAGAATATTCATTTACTCCAGTTGGAATTTTTTGAATTTATTTGAATTTACTGAATAGGATCTATACTATAACATTTTGAGAACTAAGAAAAGAAAGAACCCATTTTAAACATTTTAGAATAGGCATTTTTATATATATATTAATGGACGGATATGACTAGAAGTTATCTTAAGTTAATGAACTATAAACAGAAAAAGATTTTTAATGGAATTTGTTATTTTATCGATTTGAAACACTTTTAATGATATTTTCTTTTTAAATTTGGTTGCTAGCAGAATAATATATTACATTTCTTATCTTAACAGAATCGTAACATAATCTTAACAGAATCCCATTCAAAAACAATTTCGAAAACACAAAGAGAAAAAACAGAAACTTCGATTAAGTTAAATTTTAAATAGTGCCCAAATATCGATCAAAACTTCTGAAATTTCTTGGCTTAAGTAATTATCCAAGAAATTGCCCAGAAATTATTGGCTATACGTCCCAAATTCCAAGTTCAATTTATGTTAAAACGCTTAATTTCCCACTTTTTATGATAATATTGGGGAATATTTGCAAACAAACCTTTTAAGTCCTTTAGGCTATTTTTTACCGTTATCCAAAATTAGTGAACCGTTAGTTATATATGTTATATGATTTTCTTATCAAAGTTTCATTTTGTTATCATTTGATGCATATTTTTCACTTTTTCACACTCTGAACTCAAAGTCTCAATTGGCCGACGGAAAAAACTGGTGCCTACTATTGCGCGCGTTTCGACAATTACAATTGAAGTCGTGGAAATGGGAAAATTGTCGGGCAAGCGGAAAATCTGCGCTACATCGAAGGCCGCATGCGAACGGGAACGTGTTGCAAGCTCAACTGAATTCAAAAATTGCCTGGCCATACAATTTTTACATTATCTGCTGCAGCAGGACGTCGACGTTGACGTCGACGTCGGCGACAGCAGCGCAGCTTTGCGCTGCATGATTGTGTGCGTGTCTCTGTATGTGTGTGTGTGTGTGTGTGTGTGTGTGTGTGTGTGTGTGTGTGTGTGTGTGTGTGTGTGTGTGTGTGTGTGTGCGTGCTTTGTGGCTGTGATTTTTCCCATGTACGTGTGGGCTGCGGCTCTCATTCCGCTTGTTGCTGCCTTTTTCCGGGATTTACAGCAGCAGCAGCAGCAGCAGGAAGAGCCGGAACATCATCATCATTCAGATTGTCAGGAGCAACCACCAGCAGTTACATAAAAACGCAACCGCCCAACAACCCACCCACCACCCACCACCCACGGACCCAACCACCAACCCGTCCACCTATCGCAGCGAGCATCCATCCAACCGTCCTTCCGCCTGCTCGGCTCTGTTCTGGACAGCTCTTCTCATAAGCGAGTGTATGAAAAGTTATTGAAATTATGAAATAAATGGATAATTGGCTGCTTGCCGGCTGAGTGGGCGGAATGGGCGGGTGGGCGTTGCCAGAAGTGGGAAAACAATATGGCGCCGCAGTATTAATAATATTCGATGATTAAGGAGCGCAACGAGCGGTAAGATAAACGCCATTAAACCTCGTAATTAATTAGGCAATAAGCAATCATTTTTCGAAGTTCACGTAAAAGGATATATATTAAAGGTCGGATGGGAGGTGTTGCCAGGACTTGGATTCAAGAACTCTAAAGTAATCCCAAAGTAAAAATCAAAGTTTCTCATGCAAATAATCATATCTACAATATTTATTCGATTTAATTTCTTTGAAATTATAAAACATATATAATTTTAAAATAATCTTACGCCAGTTATAATATTCGAAATTGTTTAGATAAATAAATTATTTTGAGTTAAATATCTTAAAAGATATCAAAAAGAATATTATATAATATACAATATAATATAATATTCGAATTCGACTTGAAATTAAAAGTATTAATAAAAAAATAATATTAAATTAGATTTTTTCCGCAATATATATACAAGAATTGCGAGCTGTTCTATAAAAATATTTAAATTTAGACATTTTGATTTTTAAACAAAATTTAATCTTATTTTTAAGACAAACGTTTCGACACAGCTTCAAATAAGTCAAAGTAATTTTTGAGCAGAATTTTTGGACAGCTAAAATAAATGTTGGCTGTAAATTTGAAAGCAAAGTTTTAAATTTACTAGTTGATAAACTACACAAAATGCCAACGATCATTACCAGCACAAAAAGCCCAATTAGCGCCCATCAAAGTGAATCAATGCAAAAGAAAAGGAAAAGAAAAATGGAATACCAAGTGCCTGGCTGCCCGCCTGGTCGGTCTGACGGGTGTGGAGAGCATGCATGTGCGCCCATCTTTAAATCTCCGCCACGAGATACAAATTTTAAATCAAAGCCTGGAATTTCGCTCTCTCTCTCTCTCTCGCTCTCACTCACGCTCAGCTCTCGCATGCAGCTGGTGCTCAAGCTGAGGCCCAGGCCGACTCGACACGTTTGTCGTTTCAATCATCATTAGTGCTAATGTACCCACAAGAATTGGGCAGCCACTTGGCAGGGTGCGGGCAATGGCTGCCCGCGCGGCAGAGAAAGAGCAAATTGGGCATGCGGCAGCGAGAGCGAGAGAGTGCAGCACACACAGGCACGCAAGCACAGCAAGTATATATACACAAACAAGATAAGCGTGTGTGTGTGTGTG